GTTGGAAAGGTGTGTTTCTTGTAAGCAGCAAATAGATGGGTTTTGTTCCTTAACCCAATCAGCCAATCGGTGTCTTTTAACTGGACAGTTCAGGCCATTCACGTTCAATGTGACTAATGATAAGTGGTAACTTTGCCCTGCCATTTGCCAAAGATAAGTTCTAATATATGCTTTGAATTCCCCGTGATCTTTTGCTGTGAGCTTTCCTTCCTTGGTTTCCTTCCTTTACCTTCTTTCATATTGATGACCGTGTTTCTTTGTTTCTGTGTGTAACACATCTTTAAGCATCTTTTGCAGGGCTGAACGAGTGGCAACAAATTCTTTCAATTTCTGTTTGTTATGAAAAGTCTTTATTTCACCTTCATTCACAAATGATAGCTTTGCAGGATATAATATTCTGGGCTGGCAGTTTTTCTCTCTTAGTACCTGGGCTATATCTCGCCATTCCCTCCTAGCTTGTAGAGTTTCTGATGAGAAGTCAGCTGTGAGTCTGATTGGAGATCCTCTGAGAGTAATCTGATGTTTCTCTCTTGCACATTTTAGGATCTTTTCTTTATGTTTCACTGTGGAGAGCTTAATTACCACGTGTCGTGGTGAGGATCTCTTTTGGTCGTGTTTATTAGGGGTTCTGTGAGCTTCCTGTACTAGGATTTCTCTGTCCTTCTCCAAACCTGGGAAATTTTCTGCTAATATCTCACTAAAAAGGCCTTCTAATCCTTTCTCCCTCTCCATGCCTTCAGGAACTCCTAGAACCCGAATGTTGGGTTTTTTAATAGTATCCTGAAGATTCCCGACAATATGTTTTAGATTTCTAATTTCCTCGTCTTTTCTTTGGTTTGACTGTATCCTTTCCTGTTCTCTGTCTTCTAAGTCCGATATTCTCTCTTCTGCTTCTCCCATTCTGTTTGTAAGGCTCTCTATTGTGTTTTTCATTTGATCTATTGAATTCTTCACTTCAGTCACTATCCCAGTTTCCTGTTGTACTAGTTGTTTCGTTTCATTTTGATTCCTCCGTAATATTTCATTTTCACGAGAGAGATTTTCTATCTTGTCCATTAAGGATTTCTGTAGTTCAAGAATTTGTTTTTGAGAACTTCTTAATGTTCTTATCAATTTTTTGAGATCTGCTTCTTGCATTTCTTCTATGTCATCATCCTCATAATCTTGAATTGGGGTGTCTTTTTCATTTGAGGGCTTCATGGTGACTTCCTTGTTTTTATTACCTTGGTTTTTGCGTTTGTTATTTGGCATATTGGAGATATTTGGTTTCTTCACTGTGGTGCTTTTTCTTGTTATACTATGACTCTAGATTAAGTGGACTATCTGTTTTTGATGGAGCCTTAGGGCTTGAGATGGGTGTGGCCTGAGAGCTCTGTTTGGTGTGCCAAAGGTGACACTCCCAGGTTAGGCGTGGTAAACCTCTCTCTCTCTCTCTCTCTCTCTTTTTTTTTGATTCAAAAGGGAAGTTATTCTGCACAGCTGAACGAAGTTGGAGGTAGTTAGCAGGCAAATGATATACCCGCAGGAGCCAGAGATCAGAAGCTCTTTCCCAAGGACCACACAGGGAATCTGTTTGGCCCTCAGAGTGGGCTCAAATTCTCCTTCAGTCTCCCACTGGGTTGCCAAAGTTACGGAATTGTAGCGTCTCTGGAGAGTGCTCACGTGAATTCCGTGAGTTCTCTCCCCCACCGTCTCTTTTTTCACAGTCTCAGTTCAGTAGCACCACAAATTTACTAGGTCCTAATCTCCTGTTAATTCGCCCCGCCCAGAGTCAGGTTTTTCTGCTAGGCTCAGGGCCGGTGCAGACCTGAGGTCGCTCTGCTTATGACGTATGTCCAAGATGGCGCCTGCTCTTTGTCTTGCTCGCCCTTGAGAGGTGAGCGGAGAGAGAGAAACCCGTGTCCGTACCAGTCACCTTTTTTTTTTTCCTCTCTCTCTCTTCCAGTTAGCTTGGTGAAGTCCCCCCCCCCCCGGGGGGGTCGTTCCCTCTAGTCTCCTCTCTCCGCTTGCCTGCCGGTGTCTCAAGTTATTGAGGTTCGGCTCACCTCGCGTTCCAGCGCTGGTGTGTTGAGTCTGCCGCTGGTGTCCCGAACTGTGGGCTCCCACGCTCTCCACGCAGGTCCGCTCCCCTTCCAGCGCCGATGTGTGGACTCGGAGCCCTGGACGTCCCAAGTCTCCCCGCTGTTGTCTGTGTGGCACGCACTCCCCTTCGAGCACTTGCGCGCAGACCTACAGCTTATTATAACTATGGTTATACCATTGTGTTGGAGCACACTCTCTTCCTATCTAACTGTGTTTTGGTACCTATTACCTAATTGCCATCTATCCCTGCTACTCCTTACCCTTTCTGACCTCTAATAAGCACTATTATACATTCAGGTCAACTTAAAAAACCTTAACAATTATTTTTATTTATTTTAAAGACAGAAACAGAAAAAGATCCCACATCCTCTAGTTCACGCCCCAAATGCCCACAAAAGCCAGGGCTAGGCCAGACTGAAGCCAGGAGCTGGGAATTCAATCTGGGTCTCCCATGGGGTGGCAGGGGCCCCACTTCTTGTGCCATCATCCGCTGCTCCCTTGGTGTGCACAAGCATAAAGTGGAATGGAGAGTACAGCCAGGGCTCAACCCAGGCACTCCAATATGGAATGAAAGCATCCTAAGTGGTGGTGGCTTAACTACTGTGCCCGACACCTGCCCAACTTTTTTTTTTCAGCTTCCACATCTGATAATGTATGTTATTTATCTTTCTGTGTCTGATTTATTTTGCTTTATATGATGCCCTCCAGTTGCATCCATTTTGCTGCAAAAAATAGGATATCAATATTATGGCTGCATAACATTCCATTATGTATATATATCATATTTTCTTAATTCATTCACCAGTAGATGGACATCTAGACTGATTACATATCTTGGCTATTGTGAATGGTGCCACATGAATATGAGTGCCAGTATCTTTGATATGTTCATATTATTTCCTTTGTTATATATTCAGAAGTAGAATAGCTGTATCACAGAGTAGGTCTACTTTTCATTATTTGAGGACCCTCTGTACTGTTCTCCATAATAGCTGTACCAATTTATTTTACCATAACAATGTTTAACAGTTCCCTTTTCAGGCAAGCGCCATGACATACTGGGTAAAGCTGCCACCTGCAGCACCAGCATCCCAAGTGTGCGCTGGTGTGTGAGTCCCAGTTGTTCCATTTCTGATCTAGCTCCCTGCTAATGTGCCCGGGAAAGCAACAGAAGATGGCCCAAGTGTTTGGGCCCCTGCACCCATGTGGGAGAGCTGGATGAAGTTCCTGGCTCCTGGCTTTGGCCTGGCCCAGCCCTGGCCATTGTGGTCACTTGGGGCGTGAACCAGTGAATGCAAGATTCTCTCTCTCTCTCTCTCACTCTAATTTTAAAATAAATAAAAAAAGAATTCTCTTTTACCAACACTGGTTGTTTTTTTCCATTTTGATAATTGCCATTCTGATTGCGTTGAGATGATATCTCACTGTGATTTTGACTTGCATTTTCCTTATTGCTAGTAATATGGTGCCTTTTTCCAAAAATTCCTTGACCATTTGAATTTCCTATTTTGAAAAGTGTCTGTTCATATGATTTTCCCATTTTAAAGTTAGATTATTTGTTTTTTATAGGTTGTCTATTCACTCTGTTGACTTTTTTTTTTTTTTTTGCTCTACATAGCTTCTTTTAAAATTTTAAAAGTTAATTATATTTACTAGAAAGGCAGAGAAGAGAGACAGACACACAGTCAAAATAGGGAACTTCTATCTCTGGTTTACTCCCAAGTGCCTACAACATCCAGGGCTGGGCGAGGCTGAAGCCAGGAGCCTGGTACTCAATCTGGGTCACCTATGTCATGACAGAGACCCAAGCGCTTGAACCATCACTGCTGTCCTGCACATTAGCAGGAAGCTAGACTAGAAAGCAGAGCCAGAACTTGAGCCCAGGCATTCTAATATGGTAAGTGGGCATCTCTAGCCGTATTTTAACTCTTGCCCCAAGTATCTACTACCAGAAACTTCTTAATTCAATATAATCCCATTTGCCTAGTTTTTGTTCTGTTTTCTGTGTTTTTGGGGTCATATCCAAAAATTATTGCCTATACCATTATCTTGAAGTAGTTCCCCTGAGTTTTAAGGGTTTCATAGATTCAGGTCTTAAACTTATTTCTCTGATTGGTTTTGCATTGGTTTTTGTGTAAGGTGAGTTGCAGTAGATAAAGTTTAAATCCTCCGCATCTGGGTATCCCATTTCCCCAGCATTATTTGTTGAGCTTGTCCTTTCTCCTCTGTGTGTTTTGGCACCCTTGTGGACAATCAGTTGGCTGTAGAACCATGGATTTATTTTGGGGGTCTCTATTCTCCTATGCTATTCTATTTGTCTGTTTTTGTGCCACTACCATGCTATTTTTGTTGCTGTATCTTTGCACTTGGTCTTGAAGCCAGGTACTGTGATGCCTCCAGCATTGTTCTTTTTGCTCAAGATTACTTTGGTTGTGAGGGGTCTATTGGGCTTCCAAATCAGTTTTAGAATTGTTTCTTCTAGTTCTGCAAAGAATGTCATGGATGTTTTAATTGGGATCGCACTGAATCTATAAATTGCTTTGGGTAGTCTGAATGTTTTAGCAATGTTAATTCTCTCAATCCATCAATATGGGAGTCTTTACTTATTTTTTGGTGTCTTGTTCAATGTCTTTCATCAGTGTTGTATAATTTTCAACTGCAGAGGTCTTTCACATCTTTGGTTAAATTTTTACTGGTATTTTAGTTTTGTAAAGATTTATTTATTTGAAAGGGAGAATGAGAGGGAGAGGGGGAGGGAGAGGAAGGGGAAGAGGGGAGGGGGGAGAAGGAGGGGGGGAGGAGGGGGAGAGGGGGAGAGAGAGGGAAAGATATCTTCTATCTACTGGTTCACTCCCCAGATGGCCAGGGCTGGGCCATGCTGAAGCCGGGATCCTAGAGTTTCTTCCAGGTTTCTCATGTGGGTGCAGGGGCCCAAGCACTTGGGCCATATACTGCTGCTTTCTCAGGCCATTAGCAGGGAGCTGGGTTGGAAGTGAGGCAGCCACCCGGCACGCACCCTCCGCGCTGCCAGGATGCCCAAGAGGAAGGTCAGCTCTGCCGAGGGGGCGGCCAAGGAGGAGCCCAAGAGGAGGTCGGCGCGCTTGTCAGCGAAGCCAGCCCCCGCGAAGGTGGAAGCGAAGCCCAAGAAGGCCGCCGGGAAGGATAAGTCATCAGACAAGAAAGTGCAAGCAAAGGGGAAGAGAGGAGCAAAGGGAAAACAGGCCGAGGTGGCTAACCAAGAAGCTAAAGAAGACCTGCCTGCAGAAAACGGAGAAACGAAAAACGAGGAGAGTCCAGCCTCTGATGAAGCAGAAGAGAAAGAAACCAAGTCCGATTAATACCATACGCCATGTGTTATCAGTGGTCCCTGTCTCCCTTCTTGTACAATCCAGAGGAATATTTTTATCAACTATTTTGTAAATGCAAGTTTTTTAGTAGCTCTAGAAACATTTTTAAGAAGGAGGGAAGCCCACCTCATCCCATTTTTTAAGTGTAAATGATTTTTTTTAAGAGGTGAAATCATTTGCTGGTTGTTTATTTTTTGGTACAACCAGAAAATAGTGGCATATTGAATTCTGGGAGGCTTTGACTGTCTTGGGTGTCAGCTTAACATTCCATGGGTGGGGGTGGTTTTTATATCCTACAGTACAGCACATACTAAATGGCAATTTGGAGTCTCAATTGTGCATTTAATCTGTCTTGAATATTTTCAGTTGCTTCTCCCGTGTTTTGTAGAATTGTTTCCTACAGAAAACCACTCCTTGTTCTGTCAGAACCATGTGCACTCTGTAACATCTTCGGTTGTGGTAGTCCAGTTTTCCTAATGATTTTGTTAATGTGCCGTGAAAGATTGAAAATTTGAGTGTCGTTTATATGCTATTATATTGTGAATGGGTGGGATTTATGTAACAGCAACATTTGAAGATACTTGTACTTGATAGCCTCTTAAGGAAGAGTTGCCTCCAAATTTGAAGCTGGAAAGTCACTGGAATAACTTTTAAAAAAAGAATGACAATTCATGGCTTTTTAGATTTTTGGTACGTATGTTAAGAATTGTGTACAAATTAAAATGTGTGTGCTGATTCTCAACACCAATAAAATCTCAATTATGGACAAAAAAAAAAAAAAAAAGGAAGTGAGGCAGCCAGGTCTTGAATCGGCGTCCATATGGGATCCCGGCATTGAAGGTGGCAGCCTAACCCAGCATGCTATAACAATGGCCTCAGTATTTTAATTTTTCACAGCTACTGAGAATTGGACTGTTTTATGATTTCTTTCTCAGTGAGTTTGTTATTGATGTATAAAAATGCTACAGCCACCAATTAGGCAAGAGAAAGAAATAAGGAGCACCCAGACTGGGGAGGAGCAAGCCCAACTGTTGCTGTTTGCAGATAAGATGATCTTATATACAGAAAACCCCAAGGACTCCATCAAGAAGCTATTAGAACTCATAAGCAAATTCAGCAAACTTGCAGGATACAAAGTCAGTGTATAAAGATAAGTAGCATTTTTAAACACTTACAGTATATTATCTGAAAAAGAAACCAAAGAAGCAATCCCACATCCAATAGCTGCAAAAACTTCATTAAATACCTAGTAATAAATGTAAAAAGGCAAAAGATCTCTACAATAAAAATATTGATAAAATAAATTGAGGAGTATAAAAATAATTGGAAGATATTCTATGTGCATGGATTGGAAAAATCAATATTGTTAAAAATGTCCACATTACCCAAAGCAATTTACAGATTCGATGCAATCTCTATCAAGATGCCAGTGACAGGGTGGGCAATTGCCTAGTGTTGTGTTGCTGCTTAGGGCACCACGCCCCACATTAGTGTCTGCACCGGATTCCCAGCTCTGGCTCCCGAGTCCACTTTTCTAACAATGAGAACCCTGGGAGGCGGCAGGGATGGTTCAAGTGGTTCAGTTCCTGATTTGTGTGAGAAGCATAGATTAAGCTCCCAACCTCCAGCTTTGGCCTTCCCTGCTGCTTGCTGTTGTGGGCGTTTGGGTAGTGATACAGCAGATGACAACTAGCTTGCTCGTTCGCTCTCTCTCTCCATCTGTCACACTTTCTCTGTCTCTTAAATAAACAAATATGATTTGTAAAAATACAAATGACATTTTTCACAGAACTAGAAAAAATACTACTAAGATTTATATGGCACCACAAATGACCCCAAACAACAAAGCAATACTCAGGGAAAAAAAAAAAAAGAACCAGGAGACAGGCATTATACTACCCGACTTTAAAATTACAAAGCCACAGTAATTAAAACAGTGAGATAGGGGCCAGCGCTGTGGCACAGCGGGTTAATGCCCTGGCCTGAAGCACCAGCATCCCATATGGGCACCAGTTTGAGGCCTGGCTGCTCCACTTTTGATCCAGCTCTCTGCTATGGCCTGGGAAAGCAGTGGAAGATGGCCCAACTCCTTGGGCCCCTGCACCCTTGTGGGAGACCCGGAGGAAGCTCCTGGCTCCTGGCTTTGGATCGGCACAGCTCTGGCCATTGCAGCCATCTGGGAGTGAACCAGTGGATGGAAAGACCCCCTCCCACCTCTGCCTCTGCCTCTCTCTGTGTAACTCTGACTTTCAAATAATTAAATACATCTTAAAAAAAAGTGAGATAGATGCATAAAAATGGATATATAGACCAGTGAAATGAAATAGAGATCCTCGAAGTAAACCCACCTACAGTCAGTTGATCTTTGACAAAGGTGCTAAAAACATACACTAGGCAAAGAATAATCTTTTCAATAAATGATGCTGGGGAAAATTGGATTTCATGCAGGAGATGAAACATGCAGGAGAATGAAACCGTATCTCCCACCATGTACAAAAGTCAACTCAGAGTGAGGGTGTTTGATGCAGTGTTGAATATGTGCTTGGGACGCCTGCATTCCATATCAGAGTGCCTGGAGTCCACCGCTCCTCCATTTCCAATTCAACTTCCTACCGGTGCGCACCCTGGGAGGCAGCAATGATGGTTCAAGTACTTGGCTTCCTGTGACCTGTGTAGGTGACCCAGACTGAATTCTAGGCTCCTGGTTTTGACCTAGCCTAGTCTTGGTTGTTGTGACATCTGGGGTGTGAACCAGTGGATGGCAGCTCTCTCTCCATCTGTTTGTCTCTCTCTCTTTCAATAAAATGCAATAAAAGTATTTAAAAATAAAATTTAGGGGCTGGAGCTGTGGCACAGGTTTAATGCCCTGGCCTGAAACGCTGGCATCCCATATGGGTGCCAGTTCGAGACCTGGCTGCTCCACTTCCAGTCCAGCTCTCTGCTATGGCCTGGGAAAGCAGTGGAAGATGATCCAAGTGCTGGGGTCCCTGCACCCTTGTGGGAGACCTGGAAGAAGCTCCTGGCTTTGGATCAGCGCAGCTCAAGCTGTTGTGGCCAATTGGAGAGTGAACCATCGGATGGAAGACCTCTCTCTCTCTCTTTCTCTCTCTCTCTCTCTCTCTGTGTGTAACTCTGACTTGCAAATAAATAAATAAATCTTAAAAAAATAAAATTTAAAACATGTATAAAAGAAACCCTAAAGCAACCACTAATATACAAAACATGGAGTTATAGCTAATATCTCCAACAACTGAGGGTAAAAAGGAATAATAAAAAGTATTCAATCTAAAAGAAGTTTAAAAATGATGAAGAGAGGGGCTGGTGTTTGGCATAGTGAATTCCAGTCCTGGCTGCTCCACTTCTGATCCAGCTCCCTGCTAATGGACTGGGAAAAGCAGTAGAAGGTTGCCCAAGTGTTTGGGCCCCTGCTACTCACGTAGGAGTCCCAGAAGAAGCTCTTGGCTTCGGACTGGCCCAACTCCAGCCTTTGCAGCCATTTGGGGAGTGAACCAGCAGATGGAAGATTTCTCTCCTTGCCTCTGCCTATCCCTCTCTGTAACTCTGCCTTTCTTTTTTTTTTTTTTTTTTTTTTGACAGGCAGAGTTAGACAGTGAGAGAGAGACAGAGACAGAGAGAAAGGTCTTCCTTCCGCTGGTTCACCCCCCAAATGGCTGGTACGGCCAGCGTGCTGTGCCGATCTGAAGCCAGGAGCCAGGTGCTTCCTCCTGGTCTCCCATGCGGCTGCAAGGCCCAAGCACTTGGG